GTCAGAGATGGCGTGGCTAACCCGGGTGCATTGGTTTTGTGCCTGATCGTGGAAGACCCCTTCAATGTGGAACGAATTTTTAGCTAATGTCGATATTTTTCACTGCAGTGCCTACACAGACGATCGAGAGAGATTCGGGTAATTGTCAATTGCTGCTATGATGGCTTTGGTTGGTTGTTCTTTTTCACTGTACGTCCGCAGACACATTCTGACAGCACTTCAGACAGCAGCTTTGTGCCCCGCCAGCTGCTTGTTCCATGCCTGCCATGGTGTTTTTGTACAGACAGCAATTCAGACAGCAGTATGCTGTAGTCGGCAATCTTCCGTTTTGGTATAGAGTGGGACAGGGAGGGGGTGATGCTACTGTAGTCGAACGGTGGACGGACGTGCAGTTCAGTTTTTGGGCACGCATACGGTGCTGCAGGGGTTTTTAGGTGTACCTCTTCGGGCTCTTGGATACCTTTTTCTCGTTATATGCGTGCGTGTTCTGTAGATCCTCAGATGGCTCTAGCACTTTCGTGACCACGGGCTGAGAGTCTTTTGCTAGATTTTGGCATTTAGCAACTTACATACGGTTTAATGTGAAGACAACAACAACAACAACACCATCAACACGAACAACAATCCAAATCACTTTCCATTCTTTGGTTGCACCAACCATGGGAAGGATATTTCCAAAGTCTAGATTCTATGTACTTGGAATCATACCTGTCCCAATACAGTAGTGGGAGGCCCTCCCTAGTGCCGGTATGTGCCCAGATTATCGATGGGCACTATACCGGACACCGCACTATTCAGAACAAGGATATCTACGCTAGGTTTTAATTGTAGGAGGTGGACACTCGTGATTTGACCGGCAACATATCGGGCAGACACTAAACAAGGTCTCACACTGCTGTATTTATGTCCATCCCTATGCATGGTATTGAGAGAGAGGCAACCTCGCGCGGATGCATGCGCCTCAAGGTAACTTTCGAATCTTGAATACGAGACATTCAGATAGGTTTTGAGTATGAGAATAACAATACTATCACTGCTTTCAAGTAGAAGTAAGCAGTTTTGTTCTGGACAGGTGCCACCACTCTTTTGGTGGTAGGCTCGTGACCACGCAAGGCGTCCGCGTCGGTTGGACCAGTACGGACAGAAGAAGGTACGGCGCGGAGACCGCAAATGTTTGATATTGCTTTTTTATCATTGTTTGATATTGCTTTTTTATCATTGTTTGATATTGCTTTTTTATCATTGTTTGATACTGCTTTTTTATCATTGTTTGATATTGCTTTTTATCATTGTTTGATATTGCTTTTTTATCATTGTTTGATACTGCTTTTTTATCATTGTTTGATATTGCTTTTTATCATTGTTTGATATTGCTTTTTTATCATTGTTTGATACTGCTTTTTTATTATTGTTTGATATTGCTTTTTTATCATTGTTATTGTGAAGACAACCACAACAACAGCAACGCTCCTTCGATCGGGTAACAAGTTTTTCCGCCATCCGCTCGTTGCAAGCTAGAGGGATTCATCTGGCGCAGCTTCGGATTCGAGAATAAGTAAACATGAGTAAAAAAATCAAGTCCGGAGGAAGACCCGACGTTATATGTTGCAAGGGTGTGTTCGGTACGGTACGGGTTCGCTCCGTAGGGTATGGAGGACTTTACCGAGGCGTACCGGGATTTTTCGGTAGGTATGGAGGGCCATACCGAGATTTTCGGTAGGTATGGAGGGCTATACCGAGGGTACCGGGATGTTCGGTAGGTAAGGAGGGCCATACCGAGGCGTACCGGGATTTTTCGGTAGGTATGGAGGGCCATACCGAGATTTTCGGTAGGTATGGAGGGCTATACCGAGGGTACCGGGATGTTCGGTAGGTAAGGAGGGCCATACCGAGGCGTACCGGGATTTTTCGGTAGGTATGGAGGGCCATACCGAGATTTTCGGTAGGTATGGGGGTCTACACCGAGGCGTACCGGGATTTCCGGTAGGTATGGAGGGCCATACCGAGGCGTACCGGGATTTTTCGGGAGGTATGGAGGGCCATACCGAGATTTTCGGTAGGTACGGGGGTCTACACCGAGGCGTACCGGGATTTTTCGGTAGGTATGGAGGGCCATATCGAGATTTTCGGTAGGTATGGAGGGCTATACCGAGGCGTACCGGGATATTCAGTAGGTATGGAGGGCCGTACCGAGGAGTACCTGGATTTTAGGCTGGTACGGAGGGCTCTATCGAGGCGTACCGACAGCCTTTCCGAAAATGTCGTGGCTTTTCTTGAGGTGCTTGTTGACGTTGGCGCGGTCGCCGCCCTTGCAGGGAACCATGTGCTTCTTCCGCCGGCAAGTTGCGTTCGCTAGGCAGCAGTACTTGGCGGGCCTGGCGTAGTCCTTCTTGTCGAGCGCTTTTAGGTAAACTCCAACCGAATACATGAAAGCCGCTTCACGCGTTCCTACTTTCCGATAACCGGCCGGCACAGCGAAGTCATCGACGGCTTTGGTGGTGTCGTCTGGCACGTTGTACGCCTGCCCGTTCTGGTTGTAGACGAGCGCTGGTGTAGTCGTAGGCACGCTGCTTCCTTGTGAGGTCTCGACTACCTCTGGCGTCGGGGTTTGCGAAGAGGAACCGCTGCCAGAACCGGGGTCGGCACCGCCGGCACCCCCCTCATCCTGAGAGGTTGCCTCACTGCTCATGAGTGCTCGGTTTCGTGCACCCCAGGGTAGATGGTGTTGTTCGGTAGGAGATTTGAGATGTTGCGTATGGTGCAGCAGCAGTGATGTTGTGTGGTCGGAATGGGGCAGGGGTACAGAGTTGTTGTTGTTGTCTTCACATTAAGAACCGTTCCGATCTCCCTCTACCCAGTACCTTCGTATGTCCGTACTGATCCAACACTCGACGCGGTCGATTCCCGTGGTCGCAGACTAACTTACCCTAAAAAGGTACACTCAAACAAAATGGCCCCGAGGGGTCCGCAAGTCAACAGAAATCAACGACAGATATTCTGGAGTCCTCCACTCCCTCTGCGCGCTATGCGAGGTAGCAACTGAGACTAGAAGTCACCATCACGGGTCGGAGAGAATGAGGTACACCCCCTTGGTTCAATCTTGGTACTTCACAACGCAAGCAGAGACAAGGCCATCTGGCACAGAAAAAAAGAGAGAAAGAGAAAAAGCGAAAAAGAGAAGAAAATAAAAGGAAACAGTGAGGAAAGAGAAAATAAAATGAAAAGAGCGAGGACGAAAGGGACCAGGCCGAAAATAACAAGAAATAAGAGACAGAAAAAGGCACACGGTGGAGAGACCACTAACGACAAGCAAACACGCAAACATGGCCACTAACCAGCGATACATTGTAATGGTACGTCATCACTAGTGGGGGGTTGGTGCAATGGTGCAGCGTTGGGGGGGGGGGGATTGGCTAAAAGAAATTCAATCCGGCACGTATCGCGCCACTCGGTCCGTCTCTTCTCGTTTGCTTTCTTCCCTCGCCGTCTCGTCCGTCTCCTGCCCCCCTCCCGCCCCATTGGTTGGTGGCTTGTCGTTTCGTTTGAGCGCCCGTTGTCGGCTGGCCTCTTGTTCCGTCTCGTGCCAGGAGGTCATGAACCTTTCAGCTCCCTGCAGCACCGCCGCATGCCAGGGTACTCCCCCCTCTACCTTCGCGGCTTCCGTCCACTTTAACGTCGGTGCCGTGTCTTTCGGTACCGGGATTCCAAAACAAGATCGATCGGTTTTCGTAGATCCGTGGTCGGCCCCGAATGCCTTCAGGTCGTCGAGCACACACTTCGGCCAGTTCTGTTTCTGTCCCCCCCTACGTCGCTTCTCCCCCCCTGCCAGTTCGCCGAACATCAGTCGTTTCGGGAGTCGCCCGTCCGGCTGCCTTGCCAATGCTCCCGCGAACAGTAGGCGTCGTTGTCGGATCGTGGCTTCAACGCTCTGGCATTCGACCCTCTTCAGCGTCTGGGCGTAAGAGAGCTGCAGGTCGGTGTCTTTCTTGCGCTTGTACCCAATAACTCGAAGGAGCAGTCGGTGGTGTGTCGACCGCAGCGTCTGATAGTGGCCGCTGAGTGGTGACCATGTCATGCAGCCGTACAGCAATGCCTCCATCGCCTCCGCCTGGATCAGGCGGATCTTAAGTCGGAATGGCGCTGGCGGTCTGTCGAAGAACTCCCGGCCATATCGCCTGAGGCACGCCCACGCTCCCCTCCTCCTGTAGTTGATCTCCCGGGTGAGGTCGCCATGTTCGTTGACGAGGCCACCGAGGTACCGGAACTCGGTCGTCTGGGCGTATTTCTGTCCCGCGGCTTCGATGGTCAGTGGTGGAGGCGGGGCGGGCTGTGATGTTGTAGTCGACTTGTCCTTTGCGCGCATCAGGAGCGTCTCCGTCTTCTTCTCCGACACGGTTAGCCCGAACTCCCCGCGGGAACACCTCAACGATGATGGTCATCATTCTCGCAGTCCTTCTGCAGACCTCGATACGACGCCGGCATCATCGGCATACAGCATCCCCCGTACTGCCCTCCGTACTCGGTCAAGGGGTGTCTCCTCCCCCCCCCCGACTTCCGTCTTCCCCTCCTCCAAGCACACCAGGCTCCGCAGAACAACATCATCCTCGCTGAATCGGATGACAACGACCTCGAGGACCTCGGCGAAGAAGATGTTGAACAGCAGTGGGGATAGCACACATCCTTGTCGCACGCCCTGTGTCACGAAGAACCAGTCCGATAGCTCTCTGTCGTCCATGCGCACCCGGGCCCGCATTCCATCGTGGAATTGGCGGATGACTTCGATCAGCTTCGCGGGAATCCCGGCCCTGTCCAGCACCTTCCATAGCATCTATCGGTCCACCGAATCATACGCCTTGTTCAAGTCGACGAAACACATGTAGAGCGGTATTTTCTTTCTCCGCCCCAGCTCCTTGATGGTTGCATTTGTGTGGTATAAGAGAGTGACGTCACAATGTGGCGGTACTGGTGTTTATTACGGTATGGTTTGGATATCTGTACCCCTACCGGCCCCTCGGTATGATTTCAAGGGTGTACCGATACCCCTATCGAACACTCGGTATTTTTTCTCCGTTTACCGAGATTTTCGGTAGGTATGGGGGACTGTACCGAAGCGTACCGGGATTTTCGGCAGGTACGGAGGGCTGTACCGAGGAGTACCGGGCATTTTCAGTAGGTACGGAGGGCCGGACCGAGATTCACGGTAGGTATGGAGGGCCTTACCGAGGCGTACCGGGCATTTTCGGTAGGTATGGAGGGCCATACCGAGGCGTACCGGGATTTCGGTAGGTATGGAGGGCTGTACCGAAGGGCACCGAGACCCTGGGTAGGGTGTATACCGGCGGAAACACCCGCGGTATATCTCGGTACGTACCGTACCGAACACACTCTTGATTAGTTGTGTTTAGGCTGTGACGCGGTTGCGCGGTGAGGAGCGTATCCGACCAATGCTGTGGGTAGGTTAGCTGGTTCGTTGCAGTCTGATTCCTTCCTTTCTCTTTCAGTCGCTCGCTACAGTATCGCTCACTCCCAATGCCGGTGCGTTTCGACAAGATGTACCGGCCCCGATGGCATCTTGGCCCAAGGGTTAAGGTTCACATGCCATGCCAAGTCGCCTACGAGATGCGTGCTTGCACGCGTTTTTTTCTTCTTGTACTCGTGACAAAACATATCCATCTCCTCCACAGAATAATTAATAAGCAATGGATCGATAGCGGTCAGCGGGAGAACCTGTGTGTCTACAGCTCACACGCTCAATTTGGTGGCCGTCTTGTGTACGTGACTATATCGTATGCCTTGTGCTGAGGAGGTGTGGTAGGGGAGCATTCGTTTAGTGTTTGTGTTTTTTTTCCGAGCCAGTGCGAACCGCGCGAGCGAGATGACTTCGTCAACAAGGTTAAAAAAAGCAAAAAAAAGGGAAAATACGGGGGCTCTCATGCGACAACCGTATATTACCGACACAAGATAATGCATCCCCTGGACCTTTTTTCAAAGCTCAATTTACCAACAGCAGAAATAGTGGCAGCGACCAAATGGCGGCGTTGAAGCCGTCTGGTCGAGAGAGCTCTCCAAAAGTCGTTTCGTTTGCTCCTCTTCGTCGCCGAGTAATCGAGCTTTGAAAATCGGTCCAGGGTGCGTGTTATCTTGTGTCATAAAAGGTAACCAGAAACGTCTGACAGGAGTTCAAGGGGGCGTGCGTAAAAATCCTGGGGCTCGTTTCGTTGAGGGTGACGGGGTAAGCCGCCGCCGCCGATATTTCCGTTCCTGGTACTCGAGGGAAACTCCGTTCCTGGTACAAGTTCTTGGAACACTCGTAACGCAACTGGGTGTTTTGTTTTGTTGTTCGCTAAGCCCGACGGACTGACCAGCCGATCATTGACACAACGCCCGACGACGGTTGTAGCGCTGGCCGCTGTGTGCGATGTGTGATTCCCCCGATTGAGCAGCCCCGTGGCTTCCGCCCCCGCCCCCCCCCCCCCCCCCCCCCCCCCCCCCCCCCCCCCCCNCCCCCCCCCCCCCCCCCGCCGCGCGAAACAGGACAACATCGAGGTGGTGAAGAAGCTGGGGGAGGCCGGAGCCGACCCTGCGAAGCCGGACAAGAGCGGCAACACTCCCATGCATGCCGCCGCGGGGGAAGGCGCGATCGCCGTCGTCCGATACTTCGTCGAAAAGGGCGTTCCCGGCAACATCAAGAACACGGAAGGGTTTACTCCACTGGTAAGCCGGCGGCGGGGAT